GGAGGATTACTGTTGAGGAAAGGGAGAGATTCAAAGGATTTAGAGTAAACCGTATGCTCACTGTTGAACTTTTGGATCGGAATTGGCAGAGGAGAGAGAAAAGGAATAATAATATTATTATACAATGATACAAAATAATATATTATACAATATAATTAATTAAGGTTTTTAGTTGAGATGAAAAAAATTTAATGGCACGAGCGGGATTCGAACCCACGATCTTCGGCTAGATACGCTGCTGCTCTACCACTTGAGCTATCGTGACGTCGATCCACTCGAAATCAACTTCCTATCTCAACCCCACCTTATGAGTTATCCCTCCTTTTTGCCATTTTTCAATGGATCGAGGTCACGATAGCTCAAGTGGTAGAGCAGCGGCGTATCTAGCTGAAGATCGTGGGTTCGAATCCGGCTCGTGCCATTAACTTTTTTTCATCTCAACTAAAAACCTTAATTAATTGTAATGTATTAATTGGTCAAGCGGACCACGAAATTAGTGAATTTAACAAATATTATACAATGTTGAACAAATAAAATATTTATAGTGATGGGAATAGCTTGCGCCTGAAATTTATTTGATTTAGGTTAGAATGCTTGGTAATAAACCTCTGGAATCGCGATTGGACGAGATCTTTTGCACAAGGAATATTCAATGACGTTTGCAGTGCTCCATTAGGGACGAACGAAGGACCATTGGTGGTGATGCGAAGAATGTTTGGATTTGGTTTAAGTTAGCCTCAATGTTGAAATCAGTAGGTCCAGAAAGGTTTTGTCTGATGGTCTTGTAAATGCTAACTGTGTTTTCTAATGTCAATTCACATTGTTTTCCTATTAGAATAAAAAGCATAGTCTGTTCAGTTACGATGTTTGTAAGATGTTAACTCGAATAGAGAAATGTCCAGTAAGATCATGAACGCCCCCAACTTTTCTTAGCATGTTAAACGTTAATTTTTCTGCAATGATGCGCGTGGCGATTGGTAGAACCAAAAATAAAGCTATAACAGTCCTCGAAGGCTTGTTGTTGTTTGTTTTGGTCCGCTTTTATGTTAAATTGTAAGATGCCAGAAGTTAATAAAAAAGGAAAATTAATCAACTTTTTCATTCAAAAAGCTATCTATGCACTCGAAAGTACTAACAAATGACACGCTTCAATTCGTGCCGATATACCTAACTTGTATCCTAACGTCTAACAGCCTACGACTTCATAGGATAGGGAATTTGTCTATTATGAATGAAAGTATAATGACAGGTCCGAAATTAACAAAAGAAAAGTATTGGTCTTATGTAATTAATGTGTATTTAAGAATAAAAATACGTATAAACAAAAAACAGCTGTTAAATTCATGGCTGCCATGTTGGTTACTTACGCCCTAACGGATAGCAATGTGACTACATTTTCGACTAACCTAACCTAACTTCAGTAAAGCTCTTCGTTTCATTTTTCGCCGAGAATCAAATAGATTACACGACATTTGAAAAATGGCAAAAAGGAGGGAAAATTCAAAAGGTGGGGTTGAGGTGGGAAGTCCGAGTGGATCGAAGTCACGATAGTTCAAATGGTAGAGCAACGGCATATTTAGCTGAAAGTCGTGGGTTCGAATCCCGCTTGTGACTCAAACTTTTTTATCTCAACCAAAACCTTAATTAATTGACAAGAATTTATTTGGTCGTGGTCCACAAAACCTAATAAAATCTAATACCTAACATTGCCTCTCTGCTGTTAGACCGAACAATGGTAACTAGCTGATTCTTACAAGTCTATGTCATCATTTTTCTCCATCTAACAGGACCTAACAGACTTAACAGGGATACCACAAAGATCGTGAATACCCCTAATATGTTCCTCGAAAGCTCGACGAAGGGAGGGAGTCTTTTCATTCTTATCGGCCCCCTCTACGATCAATTTTTAATAGACAAATTTAATTGCTGATTACTAATTATATCAGACATAATGATATAAACGTCTACCTTTGCAATTTCTTTGTTGCAGACTTTATTTTCTCCAATGTTGACCTATCAGATCAATCAAGTAATTGACAATTAGCGTTTGACTAAAGGGTTAAAACCGCAGTATCGGAGTTTGCTTATGAAGCAGTTCTGAAACTACAGTCGTCGAGAAATGCCCAAAGTGTTTATTCAACCAGCTTTATCAAGGGATATACAATTCCTTATAAACTAACACGATTTGTCAGTAATTAAAGATTTTCAGAACGAATGGCAAATTTGAACACTTAATAAAATTTTATATTCCAAAAATAAAATATTAACAAAATTAGACATTTTGAGGATAAAGTAATGCATCAACACAAGTAACTGGTTAAAAACAGTGAAACGTTTGAACTTAATCGTATCGATGTGGAAATTATGCTGTCATTTAAACAATTATACTCTTTCTTAAAAGAATTCACATTTAAGACTTATAATAATAAGTAAATCAATTCAATGTTTCACTTTATTAAAAAAATAATATTATGAAACGTGCATCATCTATTTTTGAAAATTTATCCACTTTTTCTAATTGAAATCGTTTACCTTGGGCAATTTCCTGGGCCTGTATAATTTTAAAAGATGTTGAAAGCTTTTTAAAATGTGTCGCTTTAGCTGTAACGAAACAGGAACCAAACCACAATGTGGTCGGTTTCACAGCGTACGGTTATGCGGCCGTGTAAAAAGAAGAAAAAAAGTTTCACTCATCCAAAATTCGTCGGTCCGACGTGTTTAACAAAGACCACAGCCAATGCAATCTATGTGAAAGTACAATATATGTAGGTCTAGAAGAAATAAAATTCTCCTCTTGGTCACGTTGTTCAATGCCAACAAGGTAGGTGGAAAGTAAAAATTTTCAGACGGCTATAATTTTTGGTTCTTATTTAGCAACTGATCATTCACTAGGAAACCAGCTATGAGAGAACGCAATCAAAAGAATTTTTATCTCAACTAAAAACCTTAATTAATTGTAATATATTCATTGGTCAAGCGGACCACGAAATTAGTGAATTTAATCAAAAGAATATTGAACAAAGAATTCAACAGCTAAGCTACGAATTTTAAATATCAATCATGACAATTCATTTGTTAAAAACATTTAAACCGATAAAACGAAAGTTTTTTCTATTTTAACTGTAGTATAAAAATCTACCTAATTAAGAGTGAAAAATAGTTAAGCATTTTTTAAAACGATCGACGTCTATTTTAGGCATTCAGCGTTTATTTTTGGAGTTAGGAAACAACATAATTGGTTTAATGACTTGATAATCGTACGACAAACTAGTTCCTGTCATTGTTCTTTTCCTATTCTAACCATAAACCTCTTCATTTATAATGGTGTATAATTTACTAAATTTTCCAGAACCAAAAGAAGGTTGGAACAAAAATAAAACAGGAAATCGTAAAATCGATTATTATGTCAATTCGCATGTATATTTTCACCTTTAAATTGTATAATTATATTTTGATGAATTTACATTAATTTACTAAATAGCACAATGAGAATTTAACATTAATGGCCAACAGATAATAACAATATTCTAAACATTATTGATAGTTGGAAATCTTCCGCCTAGTTTCGATACATTATAAAATGTGAGATTTCTCCCAATCTCATGTTATCTTTTACTGAGGATAAATATTTAATAATAACATAAACGTGTGATTTTAACATGAATTAGTCAGAACAGGCTGGGATTAATAAAGGACAAATTATGTTATGTTATTTTGCTGGAATTAATGCATCAGATTTCAAAAAATCAAAATTGAATTTATCAGTTTAACTAAAAGAACAACATAAATGATTTATCTGATATAATTACTACCAGCTGTCAATACTATATATTTTTTAAATTAAAAATCAAGGATAAAGCCAATTTGAAAGAAAGCGCTCAGTTCCTTTGTTGAGCTCTTGAGAACCATCTTCTATTCAAACTTTTAAGACATTAATATTTGATAAAGTTCAAAAACATCTATTTACAATATCGAAACTCCTGGTGAAGCGTTATGAAAATGAATTTTTAAAAATATATTTTTAAAATGAAGTTAGTTTGAAAGGCACGTTACAAAGCATATATCATCATCTATGAATTATTACTGTTGGAATCGATTAAAATTTGATATTTTGCTATTAATTTAAAATCTTTTTTTCTTACAAATATGATGATATGCACATAAAAAACTAAGCGTTTTGTATATTTCTGAGACTCCATAATTTTCTTAGCTTCACCTTTGAACCTGCATTGCTCAGGTTATCCAAATAATAATTTAATTTGTAACGTTGAAATTCAATAACAACATAAACTATTAATACGTGTATGTTAGGTAGGTCATAATTGTCATTTCAATTAATTATACTTTTCATTTCAATTAAGACCTTAGATAAAAAGAATAATTAATTGAAACATAAACTATGTTAATTGGTTAGAACAGAACGAGGTTAGAAAGTAAATTTTATTATAATCGAATTATTATTGTCGGGCCTGAATAAAATTCGGTGTTTGTCGTTTGTTTGGCCTTTATTTCAAAAATATATAATTTTGTGGATATGTTTTATTTCTGGGTCGACGCTGATTTTTAAATGTTATTGGTCGTGGGTGTGCTTAAAACAATGGAATTTTATTTAACCTTGAAAATTTAGAACAAAATGCTATTAACCAAATGGTAATCAGTTATATTTTTATTACTTTAATGAGGTTATTTTATTCCTTAGGCAATTTTTTGTTATTGTTTTTCTGGTGGTTTCTTGGTATAATAACTTTTGTTGACTTTAATGTTTAAGGACTTGAAGTAATTGAATTTTTATGATTATGTGTCATGTCATTAATTGTCTCAATGGAGGTCCATAACTCACAAGTCTTTCGGTTATATTTGTTGCGCTTAAAAGTTAAGAAATATTTTGTATTCCCTTGTCTTTTTTTTTTTTTTTCGTATCTACCAGTAAAACAGCATGCACAGTATTATTCACGATGCCCACATTGTTGTTTTATTAAATAATTTAAAATTTTAATAAGCACGCGAAGCCCGAAAGGAGCGGTGGATAAAGGAGAATATTATAAGAGTGGGCGGAAGGATGGAGCCGAGTGAGTTAGTGAGGCTCCCAGCTGATTTCAAGGATGTGAGCTCCTCGCCTGGGCTCAGTCAAGGACAGAGTCATTTTTCTACATAGTCATTAGCGTGGAAGGAAGAGTACATCAGACGTTTCGATGATTTGTGGCCGAAACCTCATGAATAATCATCGAGTTAATCTTCCGAGCGCTATCTAAGTTGACACAACGGCCGGAGCAATTTAAAAAAATGAGTCCTCAAACAAAAAATACATGGCTTTTAAAAGGATACATTCGTGTGTTTAAATTCAACATAGAAAGGGTTTATATTGTTAATGGAAGCTTTAAAATAAAAATTGTGTCGTTTTAAAATTAACACTTACTTCTTTCTAAACCATAATAATATGGATAAATATTTCATGGCCTGCATCAAATGAAAACAAGAAGCAAATTAAGAACAGAGAATTCTGTCTGTAATGTTTTCATTTTGAACATTGGAAATTCCTGAAGAGTTTGTCATAATAGAAAATTACAATGCATCTATTCACTTTGTTTTAATTTCTTTGTAATACATTAGCCCACGTTTTGATCACTATTTCATTTTTTAATTTTCCTTCCATATTTCCATGAACGAAATCCATTACCACTCTTGTTATAGATTTCTTGGGGTTTAGAGGTTATTTTAGAAAAGGTATAGAGAACAGAAGGATTGGAATGAACAGGAAGCTGCTGTATTTGGTCTCTTCCGATCATTTCGGCCTTCCAATCCTCATCGGTATGGTCTAGCAAACTCAGTTCTGATGATGATAAAATTCCAAAATGCGTTTGTCAGATCAAAATGATTGTAAACGACCTAACAACAGGTTCGTTTATCATCCCGCCGAACCAATGAAGAACTCCACAAAGTAGGCTTGTTGTAGAACATTTAAAATGTTACAAAAACATTATCGATCGATTATATACTTAAAATGTGCCATTAGTGTTAATGCCATGGTGATTTGGACCGAAAGGTTTCCTCTCGGTTTTGGCCTCAGCTCATAGTCCAACACCATAAGTCAGATGGTTCTGACAATGGTTCTGGCAGATTGTAAGTTTTCTAACGTAAATTTACTTTGTTTTCTTGATTTTGTAAAAAAGTACAGTCTGCGGATTTAAGTTGTTTGTAAATATAAATAAAAAATGCAATATAAATACTGTGAGAACAAGAGGGGGACAGTTGATTTTTTAAAGGAAACCTGTCAGAATTTATTTTCATTAACTCTTGTACGCCATGTCTTACACAAGAACTCGATCTCTTGCATATTTGAAAATTAATAATTCGTTTATGGATTAAGAAATTAACATGAACACTGAAAACATGCACCCAGTGATGCAGAGTCCCCCAGTTCAGCATCGAAAAAAATAAACTAAAAATTTATAATTAAAAAAAAAAGGTAACAGATAAATGTTTTTGATAAAAGCACTCTATTTGTAATGTTTATTTAAGCCTAAAGGACGAAGGGAATGAAAATTTTAGTAATTGTACATCGTAAAAAAAACAATGGATATTATTGAAATTTTACATTCAACATTAAAGGAATTAGTTACCACCGTGTGTATTTTTTAACTTAACATTCTATTTACACCGATGTTGAATTCCAAACTAGTATTACATTTTAAAAACATATGTAAATAGTTCTGCTGCTGGTTTCTTCTATATTTTTAAATAGTCTTCATATCATTTTTTTTTTCATTTATATTTTGAGTAAAACATCGACAATATATGTCTATAAAAAGCAAACGGAATCTCTGCATTTAGCAGTAAATGTGGTTGTTCATTTCGATTTATTAATGTTAAGTATCAAACTGATTCTATACATACTGATACATATTTTATCATTTTAGAAGAATCATGTAGTGTTAGCCAAACAACTAGTTCTTTGTAGGAATAAAATCTAGTTATTTCTTGCATTAATGATTATCGCAATTCGGCTATTCCCCACCTGCGAGTTTGCCATTTCAGTGGATGTCTGTGTGTTGTCTCTCGCTCTCTTTGCACATACTTGTTCAAATCAAATAACAAAAGGAGAGATTTTTTCGAATAGTGTTTCCTTTTTGATGAAACTGTTAATTAAGCTGTGATTATAATATGTTTCTTTGCCTTTTCTGTTGGTTAGTAAAGCAAGCGGGATTTTTACGAATAGAATTTCCTTTTTGATTATACTGTTAATTAAGTTGTGGTTATAATATATTTCTTTGTCTTTTCTGGTGGTTAGTAAAACAAGCGGACGTTGACCGAGATGGTAAAATGCCCAATCACGTCCGACAGAGACTTTCAAAATGTTTAAAAAAAATGATAGACAAGAAAATTATAATGAGACCTTTATTTTTGTTATATATTTAATTTTTTCTTGAGACTCATAATAATGAAAATATGTTTCTGATGTATATGGTGTGCAGAAATTAAGGCAAATGAAGTTCGTTCTGTTTCATAATTTTCGAGAGTTATTGTACTTTAAGGCAATTTAATTGTACGTGAAATTATTTATTGATAATGGGTTTTTTATGCTAGTTACTCGTGTCTTCTGTCATGCTAGATTGATGAGCATATCGTCATATTATGTTTATATCGTCAGTTTTCCCATCGTCAGTTACACATCAGAGCACGTTTAAATGTTGGTTAAATATTTCTTACGATATTCGATCGTTCTAGAATTTAATATTGCTAAATTAATTAATGAAGCTAGTCAAGGTTTGTCGTCCTCAGGAGTTTGTTCAGTGGCTTGATGTTTTCTTCAACGACAGCCATGATTTTTTTCAAATATTATTGTAATTGATGGAAAATTTAATAAATTTTTTCCAACCGCGTTGTGGGCATTCGTTTTCATCTGAGTTTGGGCTGGTTTAAGTTGTGCACCTTGGTTCATCAAGGACGCTGTCGACTCGGGTCACCCCTTCCCCTCGACAAACAAATAGTACTAAATTTGAGCTCGGAAAAAGTTCAAACAGATAAGAGAAGAAATCCTTTTCTCGGTGACATCGCGTTACTTGAGTTCGACTTGGAATAAACATTTCTCACGAAACAGCCGTATTTATGCTAAGTCGATAGAACAAAGTTCCACTTATCACCACGAAAAGCCTCACTTTCGTCTCGAACATGTGTGACTTCGTTAATTATTATATAATAAACAATTTACATGAGGAATGAAAGGCGATTTTAGTTCCGCTGGCATGGTCGCTGGGCTAATTACACGGACGATAAAGTTTTTTTCCTTAGGTTTTCCGTGTAGGAACGCTTTTGTTCATAAGATGTAATCTTATAAAATTTATGGTTAAGTCAAACTCTCAAACGCGTTCTCAAGAATCAGATGTGTTCTTGAAAATGAATTTCGTTTAATAAAACAATAATAATACTGCATGTAACTAATACTGGTGGTTTCTGGTCATTTTGGCCCTATACTCGCTGTGTTTGTCTGTCAAATGAGTTTTGGCATCTAGCCATCTTCAATAGTGGGGTTGTGTACACAGAAAAGGCAGTATACCGCAACACAAAAACACGCACCCCTTCACTTTTTCATGTTTCATGGCGAGAAGACATAACTTGTCTGAATGACCAAAACAGCAGACTAAATAATCGGAAACAGCTTACTACAGATTCGTCAGCCGTTTACTGTCCAAATTGGCAACCAAAAGTTAAATATTTTTTAGATTTTTTTAAAGGTTTTATATTTGTACTACTGTACTACTCATTGAAAGACCTACGGTATAACTTCCTTTGGCTATTTTTTACGCTTCTAATTTATAACTTACAATTTATTTATTTTTTCGCAAGCAGTTGTTCCGCTATTTTTATTTGGTTTTCTACTGCCCATTTGCAGAAGCATCCCTCTAACATCCTCAATAAAGTTTACTTTGCCTTGATCCATTGTCATGTCGTGAATTATCTAGAATCTTCCAAATGACCTATCTTATTTCCTTCGATTCTTACGATTTGATAATGTTTACATTATTCTTCCGAGTATAAATATTGTAAAATTATTATTGTTTCTTTAATGAATAATGTAAATGTTATAACAGAGGTTTGGAAAAAGTTTGCGTAATGAAATATGAATAGCTAAAAAACCCTTTTAAGTATTACTGAATATGAGGACGAGTTGAATTCTTACAACGATATAAACGAAAAACTTTTTGAATTAAATAGGTTGCTATTGGATCATTCTGCCAATGCTTTTCAGTTGAATTATTAAATTGAAAATTTGCACAATTATGCTGAGGTTACACCGTACATCAAGATGAACAACGTTACTAGTATAGAATGGACGCGACGCAATTAATTATTTTCCTAACGATAAATTCATAAAACTAAGTCAGGGAATTTGATAACGCAAAGATCGCATATGTGTGTGAGTGAGGGAGAGAGAGAGAGAGAGAGAGAGAGAAAGAGAGAGAGAGAAAGAGTGGCATACAGGCGTACGTAAAGAAAGGGAGAGAAGAGGAAAAAGTGTGAGAGAGAGAGAGATAGAGATAGAGAGAGAGAGAGAGAGAGAGAGAGAGAGAGAGAGAGAGAGAGAGAGACTTTGGTCGTATTATATGTCAGATAGCGCGATTGAAAGATACGAAGAAAATTAATAAAGAGGCAGCTTATTAAAGAAATAAGCATTAGAGGACAAACATAAGATCAAGGTATTAAATAGGAATAAATAGAAAGAAAGAGTGGGAGGGACGGAGAGATAGATGGACAGATGTGTATAAATATATANAGATAGATAGAAAAAGAGTGAGAGAGAGATAAATAATGAGACCGATGTACATAAAGAAAAGAGTTTTAAAGCGCTAAAATACTAAAATTATAAGATCAAGGTCAAATCGAATTATAGTTAGATACGTAAGCGAAAGTGAAAGATGTGCTAAAGAAAGAGAAAGAGAGACAGTTAGAAAGAAAGAGAGAAAGAGAGTGAGAGAGAGAGAGGGAATTAATAAAGAGACAAATGAATACAAAGAAAATAATTTAGAAGCACTAACGTAGATAATCAAATGAAGGCAAGTACGACTACAGTTGACTAGAGTGAGAGAGAG